ATCAAAGGGCGACAGATCACATGTGGCCGGTCACCCTGTGACATGCTCACATGTGACTAGGTCACACTGTCCCAAAATCACATGACTGCTCACATGGATGAGCACCCATGTGATTTTTCCGTAAGGGAATGGGTGAAAGAAGGCCTCTGATAGAACTGAGCCATGCATAATTGCGCCCATTGTAGCGTAAAATGGAGCGCAAAGGCACGAGAATCCCAAGAAATCGCCATAGACACAACGTAAATGCAATGTCCATTGGAATGGACGCCAGGTCTGAAAGGGTGAAGTACGCCGATGACATCCAATTATCCTGCCTGCCTTCCTTACGTTTTCAATTGTCCCCAAGGTAAGTTTGCAGAGTTCGCAGGGTAACATTAAGACTAAGGTCTATGACTACCAAACGTTGTGAACATCACCACAAATTAGGCTTAGCAGGGTTCCTTTATTTCAATGATCTCACGCCCTCCAAGGGTGTTTTCTAGCGTCAGTTGCCTCATTTCCTACAAGAGTAGTGCAGAATATTGATTCTAATTGGGGTTGTTGTTTTGAATGGTGGTATAGTTGGTTTCATTGGGTCTTTCAAGGCAAACGCGGGCAGAGAAGGAATGCGCCAAAAAATTTCGCGGGTGCACCATTGCGATGATAGGACTTGACTGCGCTGAGAAAACGATTGAAAAAACGAAAGACAAGCAAGGCGCCGATATGACGTGAATCATTTCAGCGCGGGGTAAGATAGAGTAAGAAACAGGTTTTTCATACTGTGTTTTTACTCCTCCAATTGTCTGCCACGAAATAGGCGCTACGGAATAGACTTCGGATCGTACATACTCCACCTAGAGATTTAAATTTTCGTTCGTGTAAGTTCCCGTTTTACTCTAGACTCACATCCAACAATGAAAATAAAGTTTGCCGTTGCGTCATTGCTGCATCGATGGTTCAGGTCAATGCATGGATGCTTTCAAAGCTAAAGGGACTTTCTATTGATTGCATACTTGATTGATTGAATGACTTAATTTCCTAATCCCAATCACTAATTTTAGGCAGGGGCAGTTATTTTGAGACAGCAGATGTCACCCAGTTGGATGGGTGTGTAGTGCCATTTAGAAGGGGTAGGGGGTGGGGTGCAATCAATCGAAAATCTCTGTAACAGCTCTAATATCCAGGTTTTGAGTTACCGTCCTCTAGCCGCTTGTGGTTTCTGCAGGCATACTACAGGGTTGCCAAAAATAGTAAATCACTCGAAATTTTGTTATAAAATCCATTAAAAAAAAAAGATTGACGTCAAATTGTGATGGAACGTTATCCTAACATGTTCATAAAGAGCTTTAGCAGCTCTTAATGAACTTTAGATAGTGTTCCATGACATTTTCATTCGTCTTCGGTCACCCACTTTTGAGTTATGAGATCTTGTCGAAATGGTCAAAACTGTGGAAAGGAATGCGAGTGAATGTGAGTGAAATGGCATGCAACTGCCGCTGCGAGGCACGAATCCTCATTGATTTTCATTTTTAAAAAAATCAGTTATTGTGGACGGATCATTGGGAAAACTTTAAAAGATGTCAGATGTGTGCTTTTCACCATCTTAAAATTTCAAGCATGTGCATGCATTTTCAGACATCCCCATGTAATTGTGGATTCGTGTCTCGCAACAGTCGCATGCCTGTTCACCCCGAATTTTGACCATTTCGGCAAAATCCGTCAAAACTCAAGAACGGATAGTTGCAGGAGTATTACATTTTAATAGTTCTTGGAGAACATATTAGGTGACGTACCATTAAGTTTTCGTGTCAACCCGTTCAAACATTTCATAGCAAAACTTCGAGTGGCTTCCTTTTTTTCGGTCAACCCAGTACATGTACGTTGACAGAAAAGGCACTCATCACGCACTCGCATAAAATTTTGATATCGACAATGAAATTTATCGGAACGCAGCTATTTCTCGAAATCTCTAATATGGGGGGCGATACCGATTTAATTTCTTTCCTACTAATAATGATTGGCTTACTGACTGACAGAGAACTCAGCAAATTTACCAATCATTGAGAGATTTCCATACTGGTTCTATACAACTTTTGGCAATTGTACTGAGCTGTGTTGTAAAATTTCTCTAATTATATTGGGTGAAGCAAAATAATTGCCACTCTTTCAATTCTGAGGTGCCTCTGAAGCAACACTAAACAAAACAAGGTTTCTTTCATCCATACGTCTATGCATCCTTTGAGCATCCAGATACATTTTCCCGCTTTTCCCCAGTGGTTTTACCTCATGAATGATTTTACAAAAGCAACAGGAATTTTATTTTTCCCTCGCATCTCGTTGACCATGGGACCTATGAAGGATGATTCATTTAAAAGATTTTTTTTCTTCTACCCTTCAGAATCTGCAGGGCAGAAACCTGACCTACCTGACATCTGGCAATTTGCTGATTGGATTTTTTGCATCCCTGGATCATCATCGAGAGAAACAATGACTTCTTCCGCAAAAACAGTTTTCTTTAGTTTAAGCTAGTTTCAGTATTCCGCTCCCTCTCTTCCTCTCGAACCAGTTTTTCACAGCTTTAACACTAGAAGGGCCGCAGCGGTCATTTTGACCGCTTGCGAACTTTAAATGAGCACCATGCTCGTACTTTTTGATGTACGAAGTTGCGGTTCTTTGACTTTTCATCATATAGGGTATTACACGTTCACACGAAAAATTGGTCTTTTAGCTGCGACAGGAATGCCTGTACAGAACGCCATACATAGAAGGGCCGTTAGCGGTCATTTTGACCGCTGTTAGTTTTTCGCATAGCCAACAGTACGCCGCTCGCTTCTGGTGTGGTTGGACGTGTTTGCACATAAGCTCGTATAGCCCGGTCTGTCACAATAGTTCGACGACAGGACTTTACTCTGGCTCAGATACTGGCAGAACCTCAAGACCTAGCGGGAAACCAGTCAGACTTCAATGATCTAAGGTCAGATGTAGAACTAAACGGTAATGACGAGGATATTATACCTCAGCATGTTGGGAATTTCTCAGAGAGTGATCCGGCCGATGAAGAAATGAGCGAGCCGGACGCTGCACCTACACCGGACGCAGGTCCCGCAGTTCCCAACAATGCTCAACGCAACGGCAGCGGACGCGGTGGCAGACGATATCTGGGGAGGCCTACTCCACATGCGGCGAGCGATCAAGAACTTGGAAAGGACGGGAAAACTGTTTGGAAAGTTATTGACAGCGGCGTGAATAATCCTGGAAGGCTGGTTGGACTGGACAGAACGTGCTGAAAGAGACAGCAGGACCCACGTCGCATGCTAAACGTAATAATGCTGATAGCATGTAACAGGCCTAGAGGGAATGCCACTGGAGACAAACAACTCTTCCCCAGCGAAGCTCGGTGCAGGTTCATGCAGTACATGGCCAACAAACCAGATAAATTTGGCATAAAATACTGGCTTTTTGGCTGATGTTGACTCGAAGTACGTGTGCAACGGATTCCCATACCTTGGGAAAGATGACTTGCGTCCTGCCAACGAGTCATTGCCTGAAAATGTGATCATGCAGCTCGTGGGCCCTTATCTCAAGAAAGGGCGCAACATCAACACTGATAGTTTCTTCACGTCGCTGAAGCTGGCTAAGAGGCTGAAACCGCAACAAACAAGCACTGTTGGAACAATGAATCGTGTGAAAAGGGAAATCCCAGAGACTATGAAGACATCATAGGGAAATCTTTACGAGACCACCATACTAAAGAGTGCAAACGATACTGCGCTAGCAGTATATCAAGGAAAGAAGAATAAGAATGTTCTGGTGCTAAGCACCCTGCACCCGAGTGTCAAAATACGCGAAGGCAAGAAGCTTCCCGATACCGTAGAATTCTACAACGCCACTAAATTTGGCGTGGACATAGTGGACCTTATGGCTCGTGAATATTCTGAGGGCTGCATCCCGCAGGTGGCCTCTACACGTCTTTTACAATGTGCATGACCTGACAGCAAGCAATGCTTGAGTAATCTATAAAGTGGCTACTGGAAAGAGGATCTCTCGACACAAGTTCACTCTCCAACTTGTAGAAGAGCTTAGGGCAGAGTACACGAAGAAAAGACCGGAAAATGAGCCTCAAACCAAGGTGATCGCAAGCGACGCCAATGTCAAGTACTCTTCAAATGCAAAAGGAGCAAAACATTTGACAAATGTTCTGCTTGCAACAAGACCGTTTGTGGAAAATGTTCGGACAAGATAATCACTTGCACTGACTGCTAGTCAACATTTTGAACGTTTGGCTTGTACTTTTCACTTTCACAAAAAAATCACTCATAAATATTTTGTATTTTGAATTGTCTAATGAACAACTTTTTGTATTTTTTCCAAAATAAAATATAAACTAACAGTGTCAATATCCTACAGTCGATAGTCAATCGATATCCGCCTCTCAGAAGCACGCCAGATGGTTATTCAGCGGTAGCGGTCGAAATGACCGCTCGCGGCCCTTCTAGGTATGCGGGTGGGTCCGGCCCTTCTAGTGTTAATCAATCAGTCTTTCTGCAATAGGCCTTTTTCTGCAATCTTTCTTCCATTTCCAAGAAATTCTAGCAAAACTCTTACCCTCACCTCATCCTTTTGCAAAGATCATCACTACCATGGGCGGCAGGAGGAGCTCTGGCCTGAGATATGTGCACACAAAGCGTACCAACCACCCACCTGCCGATGCGATTCCTCATGCAACAACAAATTCGAGTTGCCTTTATGTTAGCACTCATCTTAAAAAACGGCTTGAGAAAAATGAGCAACTTTTGTAAAATAACATTAAAAGGTATGTGGAAGTCATTGCAAAAAAAAATGTTTAAAAACATCATCTGGTATCATGCACTCCAAAGAAACCCAAAGAGTGGCGCGTCTTTTTTATTTTTTTGCTTCAGCTGGTATATGAGTGAGAATTACTGTGAGGTGCCTAGCGGAGAGAATGACTTGAATGAAATTGACAGTGACCCAATCTAGGCACCCAAGGCGCAGGACTGAGATCAAAAGAGTGTAAAGAGCAAAAGGTCAAATACTTCAGAGTTACAAAAGAAATACTGAAAAGGAAGGTGACCAGTGCCAGGAGGTCCAAAAAGGAGAAGAGTCCTCCAAGGACGAATGCCAGCAGTTGCAAGGAATTCCAACTGAGATGGGGACAGGGAAATAGCTTCACGAATCACCTGCTTCCCTTTCTCCAGTCCTATCACCTCCATCCCACCAACACCACACTGGATATTGCACAGAGCACCATGCATTGTAATTATCCCTTCTTTATGAAAGAACCCTCCTCCATCCATTAAAGAAATCCTTTGGAGTCATCTCACCTCTTCCAGTGAAAAATAATCATGCTCTAGTGCATCTTTGTCTGATGAGTCTGGCTCTTGCTCTGCTCTCACCTGCCCAGATATCATTCAGAATATTCATGCAAGATGTACCATATTCAGAGGCTATTGAAACAATACTGATAGCAAAGTACATACACTTCCTGAACATACCATAGACTAACAATAGAGTTGGGCCAACCCATGGATACTGTGACTCAGCTGATGAGCATTGAATTTAAAAAAAAGCAAGATGAAACCTGCATTGAGAACTAAATGAGGGGTCTTCTTTCTTTTTTTTTTGTAGGCAGACTGCCTGGTATCCTAACTGTAAACCCTTTTGGGCACCTATTTCTGATAGTTTTGTGCTCTGAGTAATTCCTAGCCACCCTCATAATGGGAGAAGTTGGCTCATTCTATCTTCATCTAAAGCAGTTCTATGGGACAGACTACTGTGAGAGTTCTGTGATGATGAACTGCATTGACAGTCCATGAGTAATGAGTAAGTTGGCTTTTTAAGTTCAAAGTCATAGGTTAACAAATTTTCATGTCAACATAAACTTCAGTTCAAAATTGATATTTGAGTGATATTTTTCATTTTGCAAGGGTCACATCATTTGGCATTCTAAAATAATACAAGTCAAGTTTATAAGGATAACTCCTATGTTTGCATATGCTCTTATGTATGTTTTGGCCTGTGCATATGCTTGCTTCATGATCCTGGAGGCCTTAGCAACTCAAGTTCCAGCTCTCTGCCAATTCTATGAGAGATAGGATTAACTCTTTGCTTGAGCTTGCTAAATACTTTAGCCATTAGTGTACACTGCACCATGAAGTTGAAAAGTCTAAAACTAAGTGCCATTTTCATGAAGACATGCGATAGCAATTAGACAACATGTTTTGAAGAGATTCTTTGTGAATGAAGAAATTAAACAGAGTTAAACTGTAACGGGCATGGGGTGCAGTGGGTTGGATTTATGAAAATATCAAATATGAATAAAGTTAAAATAAAACCTTTACCTTAATGCGCCCCGATTCCACTACAATGAATTCCCTTCCAGGAAATCAGGTCTGTGCCAATTCAAATTTGAGCAGGAGTAACTAAGGCATAATTCAAGAAAACAAAATAAAAAATATATTTCCAAAAAAAAACTAATAAAAAGAAGACAATAGAAATGTTAGCCAAACAACCGGTCCAACCCCTTTACAGTACTTTCAATGACAAAGGGCTGATCTTCACTTCCAGATAAAACCTTGCAAGTTCTGGGGAAAACTCACGACCATCGAAGCGAAAAGATCCTCTAACTAAACGTTTTTCCTCTGTATGTTTTTTAGAGAGAAAGGTGGCCAGTTTCAGAGCACCCATGATCAAAAGGGCCCAAGTACCCCAGTCAAATCGGTACTAACTCGAGTTCTTCAAGTTCGAGTTCGAGCTCTTCAGTCACCTCGGAGTGAGGGATTGAGGGAGGGATCTTCAGCTGAAATCTTGTTGGATTGGAGGATAGGTTTTGGAGATTAGACTTGATTGGAGGGACTTTGATACCCATTCGCATGATGATGTTATGGCTCCTTGTACAGTGTTTGGGTAGCACATATGAGAATAAAAGATCCTGCATTTAAACTGTAAGGAGCCCTTCCACGGGTTGACTGACCCCAAACACTGGGTTCACCTCCATATTGATGCATCTCCACGTGTTGATGGTTCACCTCTTTCAGCTTCCTCCCCGCCTTGACTCTCTACTGATACACTGGACGTTGTGCGGTCATAGGCTGGCATACGTTACAAAACATATGACCATCTGAGTTCTGGTACTTACAAGGTTAAGCATGCTGTCTACTTCATTATTGTCTTCCATACTGCCCAAATATAACTGAGGCTAAAATTCAGTACATAAGACTTGCTTGATCTATAAGTGTGAGGACTGATCTAACCTACTTCAATTCTATTCTAAATCTGTGCTTCATGTTGAACCATCAATTCCATTTCAATCCATATTGAAAATGTTTAAAATTTGATATTATTCTGATCCCCAGAATGCATGGTTCAGAGTGGGGAAAAGATCCAGGAGGAAAGAGGAGTGCGTGAAAAAAATTTTGAAAATAAAATAAAATAAAAATAAAATTTTTGAGAAGAATGAAGAAAATAGGAGACCAGGCTATGCTGGGGATTGTGGGCAAGGAGAAGGAAATCAGGATCTGGCATCTTCCTTGACTCTACTTCCTCCTTCTTGTTCTTGCCCCTCTTTGTCACTGGTCGGGGTTGCAAATGTTGTTTGCACTTCAATCCATTTGAATCATGAGCCTCCACTGCTTTGATCAACTGAGGCAACTTCCTGAATTTCTGGGTATAGAATGCCTCATAGTCAATGAGGATTCGCTCAAGGTCAATGTTGTCACACACTTGATATCCCCGAGCTTCTTCAGCCAACATGCTCTCTGCCAGGTCTTCATAACTAGAAATGTTGCAATATCATTAATACTTTCATTTGCTCCTATATTATAAACTTTTATTTTGCATTATTGGTGCAACTTATAATTTCTTTTGTGCAAGTATTTATAATTGCTAGACAATAACCCACCATGATACATTTTTAACATTCATGGATGGCATTTTCTTTTTTTCACATATTTCCATATAAAGGGTGATTTTAAAAAATGCCCTATTGTTTCCTATGGGAGAAACAGTTTCATAAATGAAAAAAAAAGTTATACATTGGCTGTGCAATCAACATTGGAAAGTTACAAGGTGTTGAGATGCATGTCAATTTTTTCAGCACCCCTGCCTAAGTCATGCAATGTCCATTTATGCTGTTTACATGTGGATCATTCCACCTTAAGTGAGGTAATGATCTGTGCTTGACCATCTCAGAATTCAATTAAATTTGGCAAATGGTTGGATTATTTTGAGAATACCCTACAGAAAAAAACTTCAAGTGGAGTACTTCAAGTCTGCACTTCAAGTAGAGGCTGAGAAAAGTGAGTTTTAATTTGGTCATGGGGCACAAAATGGCCCCCAACCCCAAAATGCTAAATTCCCAACTACACAGTTATTATGTCACCACCCTATTTTGATTGGCCATAACTTTCAAGGACAATTGGATGGAGCTGATATTTAACAGAGAGGTTTATGAGTCAAAGAGGTTTTTTCACATCTGCAAGATGGCACTGCATGCTGATAAGAGGGCCCTGTTGTTGACCAAAGGGCCCTCTATCTTCGTGGAATGCCAATTTTTTGGTAGGAAAAAAAACCTTACAGGCCCATAAGCCTCTTTGCCAAATATCAGTCACATCTGAGAGCCCTTCAAAAGATTTGGGTATTGAAGCCAATTTAAATAATATGAATTAAGGTCAAAAGTGGAATTTAGGGCCAAAACTGGGCAAACTGAACTGAATTTAAAAAAATTGAATTTTGAGATGATGGAGCATAGACCATTACTGCACTTGAGGTGTAATGATCCACCTGTAAACTTTGTAATGCATAACTTAAAGAATTGTTCTGAAAATAAAAACCAGACAATCATCTCAATACCTTGTACAGTATATGTCCAATATCAAGAGCTAACGAATCTTATCATTTTTGCTGAAATATACAAATCTTACATTCTCCTATAATGGTGGGGTATTTAAAAAAAAATTACCCTATATGCTAAAGCAGGGGTTCCCAAACCCCTGCTTCGGATGTTGAATTTTGAGTTGTGACCAAAAAAGTTTGGGAACCACTGTACTAAAGGGTAGTGCAAAATACCTGCTCCCCTGCCTCCAGACAAAACCGGCAGAGTTCAACCAAAACACAAGTTACCCTTCATTTCTTACTATCACACATAGTGAGTGCAAAACTTAAACTCAGCATTACTAACATGTGCCTTTGAAATGTCCTGATTCTTTAAGGCCAAAATTTCAACAATTTTCAGAGCAAGTCAACATCATCTTTCAAGGTGTGAAACACCACCAGTTTTTCCTTCATATCCTTGATTGAAAAGTGATTGTTTCACTCTCCATGCATCATTTCTTATGCTCAATCCTTAACAATTGACCCCACTTGCTTGCAAACATTGTGATTAAGTAAGTTCCCTAGCCATTCTTCATATCCAGTGAAGTCAATGTCATTTTACTGTTTCTTTTAGAGGCCAGAACTCTCTGTTCTGTTGTCTTAGTGCAATTGTGAGAGCATCAGGGATCTAAAACCTTCAAACTGAGAATGAATATCACTTAAGGTCTTGTTCCTGTTCCATTTTAATGCACTTCAGCTGCATTTCATTGCAAATTCACTTTTTTGCAATGAATTTTGCACCCTCATCTTTAGCAATTTTCCAAGACATGGCCACAGCTCAATGTTTTCTGTCATCTAGGATGTCTGTCATTTTAAACATTTATAGTATTGCAAATAATGTTATGTGATAAGAAATTAGGGGTATCTTTTGTTTTTGGTCAAACTCTGCTGGTTCCATCTGGAGCAGGTATTTTGCACCACCCTTTATAATAGGTGATTCACCTGTCACAACAAGGTTAGGAAGAAGGGAACATACCCATTCTTGTGCAAGTAATCAGCAACAAGGACAAGCAGAGTACGCTTGAGGATCCTCCCATGGCTCCTCTCCTACAAATTCCCATCAATTCAAACATGGTGTTATAATTATGAGCAAGAAAGAACCCACTTTAAACTCAGCTATTACTTATTTTTCTTCAGATTTCAATCTCAATGAACTTCATGGCAAAACATCACATGATATATATCCCTTCACTATAGGCAAGAGGCTTACCCAATCAAGGACTTTAGACTTGTGACCAAGGTAAACATCTGATGTAAACCAACTAAAGGGGCCATTTCATATCAACTCACATAAAATAATGAAATTTATTGCTGGACCCTCATAGATTCGCTTGCAATTATTAGATATATATGGGGTGGTCCATAAGTAAGTCTACTGAAGGATCACCAACTACAGTAATTTATTATTCACCAAGGTTTGTTATATTGTATTCTTCTTTATTTTTAGGTCCTATTGGTGGCTATACTTGCTTACTGCTGAAATGGCTCATAGACCTATGAAAGAGCACAGGATTTTAACCATTGGTTCATTAATTGGGTAAACTTATTTTTGGGTCAACCTGTTTTTCCATCTGGAAAAGGTGTGATGGAAAATTTAATACAATAAGACCAATGGTTTTCAAGAAAGCTCCCCAAAATACAGGGGATAGGGGCATATAAGAAATGAATCAGCAATTGCTAACTTCTTTACTATTAGTCCAATTTAATCCTTTTAAAAGTCGAAAAAATAAACTCTTAAAAAGCGGATTCCAGCTTTTATCTTAATTTTTTAGGTACAAGAAATAATAATAAAGATACTGACATAATATTATGCAAGTGACACATTTTGGGGAATTTTCCTTGCAAGAGATGGAGATACCATTATTTTTCTGGCCTTGATAGATTCTCTTCAGGCTTCCATGTTTCAACCAGTTTCAAGGTGTGCCTTTTAGCTTCACATGTGAAAAATTTGACTTCCTGTCATAAAGAAAGACATTTTTCCTTTTCTGATAAAAAAAAATTCAAAGCGTGAACTGCTACACTAATTCAAAGAGTCAGTACATTTCTAAAGATATAGAGGGTATGGGAAAAAAGACCAACAACTTTTAACCAATATAGCTCTGCTCCAACTTGAGCTCTCTTCATGAAACTAACTGTGCATACATGGATATGGCAAAAACATATTTTCAGACTTTCTTCCAAATTCATTGCTTAGAGGAAAGGCTATGAGCAATAATTAAAAAGAAGTTAGATAATAAAAATGGGCACAAGCTCATGCTGACAGAGAAATGGAGGATACACTAAGTGTACCCTTCATTTCTCCACTTCCACACCATCCAGGCCACATCCAACTTTTCTTCCACTGAAATTCATTTTTTTTAGGCTGGCCTTTCCTTGCAAATTGATTTGAATAAAACTCATCAGAACTACAACAGGTGAATCAGTATCAAAACTGAGTTTGATGCAGGTATATTCAGAGTTCCCCTTCCTCTTTGCCAGTGAACAAAGCAGGTGGATGAGGCCCTCAGGAAGGACTGAAGTCTCAGACCCATTTTCAATCTTTAATTTATTTTGAGGAATTGCTCATGGCCTTCCTTAGAAAATATCAACTTAGATCAGGGGTCTCAAACTTATTTCAATGTGAGAGCTACATTACCAAAACTGGACTTCTCTGCTGGCCAAAGTGTGAAACAATCAAATGAATAATCTGCAATTTATGATCATTGATCCAGATTAAATTTCAATACACTGTTGCATAGATATCAATGTATATATGGTGTAAGTTTCACGAAAATAGCTCCAGTGAGAGCAAAGATATACAGGTTAAAAGTTGTAGGACTATTTTTTTTCATACCCAGTATAATTTTTCCATGTTATCCAAATTCTTTGCTTTTTCTTTACCTTTGAATGGATGCTCCCATGGGTTCTTCCCATAGGAGCCACATTGATAGGAATATAAAGCACTGTGGATGTAACCTTATTTGAATAAGTTAACTCAACTGATATGGCAGATATTTGTAGGTGTTCTTGATTGCTACATTAATTGCAGTTCTTATTTGATATGAATTATGTGTTTAAATTAAGATAAAAGTTTGACATTCAAGGCTTTGGCCTATTATTGTGCCCACAGTTTTATTTTCCTTTCCCAATTTCTAATCCACAACATAACTGAGTAGGTTCAACCACCAAGGAGAGTCAGTGTTCTTTTTTTATGTTGGTGATTGCCATAAGAAAGATTTTATGAGAAAAGAAATAGCCAAGCAGCATTTTATCTTTCACAGGAGCTAATGAGGGATATAATGATGAGGAAACTCAGTCACTTACCATGCAGGGGACAGGGATGGGGTCAGGAGGAATCTGTAATGGAATTAGGAACAGTAAGCATGACAGGATAAAGATTACAAGCTTTTTCTTACACTCTACACGTATAGTGCCCATGAATGTTTGAAAATTCAACACAAAAACTGGTACTTCCTGCCACTATTTCCCCCAAGAAAAACACATTAAAAAAATATGAATACCCAACACAACAAGGACATATCTTGTACAATGTATACCATCAGAAGATGGTTTTGGGTACTTGGGAACTTGAGTAAATGTCTGGTCTTGCAATTGGAAGCAACACAACTTCTATTAAAGTTCTCTCAATGCAATTCCCAAATTCTCAATCCCTGTACTTCTGCTCTCAAAACAGAGAATGCATACAATTCAAGGAATGATGCCTCATTGGGCCCACAACCCAACCTTATGGGAAAAAGCTGACCCAGGTCCGAGGCTTACAATTCTTATTTCTCAGGGGAGATCATGGGAAAGAAAAACAACAGAACCACATCATATATAAATACTTCATTCATGAAAAAGAGACAGCAAAAGTGAGGGATCTCAGCCTAAGGACATTGCTGGCAACAAAAAATGAAATAAAAATTTGGGATATAGAAAGTACAGAAGATAGCCCTATAGATCATCCAGAGATACTCAAAGAGTAGTGTACATTACTGATATTCCCTTCTAGATGCCTGCTGGAAATATTCAAATTCAAGGGTTTCAGAGGTGTTCAATAAGAGTGCAATCTGGAAAACTCTGCAGAGGATGACACATCACAAAAGTTATAGAAACATGGTATGATTATGCCAAAACCATATCAAATCCATATTTTAAAACTTGCAAACAAGAAAAGCATAAAAAGAGCAAGGTGAACATTGGACTCCAGGCTTGATCAAGGAGTTCCCTTAACCATGATGGTCATGAAGTAACTTCACCTTCAGGAAGATATTCAACACAAATTTCTGACTGAGGATATCAAATGAGAACCACTAGAAAGTAAGGGGTCATAAAGAAACCAAGTGAGCTCCCAGAAAGAGTTAGCAATTGACACACCTTGACCAGAATACCTATAAATTGCTTTTTCATGTGTTCTTGAATGTACAAGTATTCAAATCAGTGCATCAACAACACAGAGTTTGCTCATTCACTGGACCAACATGTATTACTCTCAGTTTAGATTATTATAAAATATGTTAATATTTCATGGGCTTTCCCATGTGTTTCCTCCCCAATGAATCCATAACCTGGAATGACATAATCACCAGGGGAAGAGTATAACCTCCCAAACCTTCCATCCTCTTTTCATATCAACACATTAAGATATGGAATCAAACAAAGAGAATAATGATGAGGCAAGATGCCAGAGTGGGAGTCAGAGACTTCTTTGGGCCAGATAGAGTCCCACCAGGACCCTTGCAGCAGCAAAGATCATGTCTTCTCGCTTCATCCCTGTCAATGCCCGGTGCCACTCTGTCTGTGGGACCTACAGGTGCAACCAATACATCTCTCCCATCAAAACATTCAAAATTGACAATTCAGTGCAAACATGGATTCCAAATTTTAGCTTCTTAAATCTCTTTGGCTGAGCATATCATATCTCAAAGAAATTCACCATCTTTCCATACTAACTCAAATGATTGAATATAGGGTGGTTAAAAAAATAAAGCTCTATGGGAGAAACAGTTTTATAAATGCAGCAAAAAAATTACATTGGACATGCAATCGATATTTGACAGTTATGTGTTGAAATGCATGCCAGCTTTTTTCAAACACCCCTGCCTAAGTCGTGCAATGTCCATTTAGAGGTGAATTAAAGGTACTTAGAGGTGGATCATTCCACCTCAAGTGAGGTGGAATGATCTGTGCTCGACCATCTCAGAATTCAATGAACTTTTCAACTTTAACATTTCAAGGGACAGTTGGATCCAGCTGATACTTGACAGCGAGGTTCATGAGTCTAAGAGGTTTTTTTCACTTCTGCAAGATGGCACTGTATCCATATGTAGAAGGTGCTATTGTTGACCAGGTGATCGAGGGTGATTTAAAAAAAGCTCCACCATTTTCAAAGGGGAGAGAGTACGATTTGTGTATTTGAGTAAAAATATATGAGATTAAAAAACTCTTGATGTTGGACATTTAGGAAGCGCTGAAAAGATTGTCATTTTATTTCTGAACAAGTCTCTGAGCCATGTATTGCCCTGTTACAGTGTTTCCGGAATGACTTTAACTCCCGTTAACACGGGCTCCATACTTTTCAATGGACCCTGTTGGCGCTCAGCAAAGTAGTACTTCTAACACTAGCAATAGATGTCACTTCATGCAATAGAAGCGTAATCGAGTCCTCAATCTTGCCGTAAGACAGTGGTCAGTGACCAGTGTCAGAGTCGAAAAAGTATTATGTGCAAAGTATATGGCAAAATCATATATTTCAGCTCAATATAAAGTAATTAAATGACGTTTGATTGAAGATTTCAATAAATAAATAAATAAATAATAATAGTGATTTATTCATGGTTCTAGAATAAGTGTGCATCAGCAAATTGCATTCCATCGTCAAAGGGTAAACATAGAAAGAGTAACAAAATTAAGGGGGTTGTACTGAGCCAGAGTGGCGGTCTTCTCTGGTAGTTTACTGGTTTATCAAGCAGGTCATGAAGGGAATTGCTGACTGGTAGAATCTTCACATGAGGCACTTGTGCTTTTGCAAGAGAGATGAGATGTTTCTTAGGTTCATGGGTGGGCATTGTCGGTAGGATGCCATCGCGATGGATTTTTTTTAGAATTTGAAGGGCATGGGCATATTTAGATGTAAGATCCAGTCGTCTTTTCTGCAAGGATGGGATGCCCAGGATTGACAAGGCCTTTTCGTAAGTTTCATATTTACGCCCAAGGATTAAGCGCAGGGCACGCTTCTGCACCTGTTCGATGGTAAATACGGCTCGACTGAGCAGGGAGCTATTCCAGGAAGCGCAGGCGTACTCAAGAACTGGCTGGATATAAGAGAACCAGACATACAGGAGGTCCTCCTGACGTGCGCCAATAGATTTCAATATCTTTAGCACTTACATTAGCACTCATTACAGAAGTGCTTTCGAATATGCTCGGTATCATTTCCTCGGTATCATTGGAGGTTTTCTTTACCATGTTTTTCTTTCACTCATAAAATATCTTTATCAATGAAAATCTCACAATCCCATGATGAAGTCCGTAGCCATCTACTGTATCAGGGAGGGGGGGGGGGCACTCACTGTGTCCAAGTCCCTATATTCTATTCCATTTTTTCATGACACCTGCCGCCAAATGGTACAGTTTCGGCCCGAGTCTATACGAATTTTAGCAGCGTTTTTAATTTTCTTATTGTACAATACTCACTTTCTGTTTACGCAGGCAGTGTCATACTGAAAACGGGATCTTACGACCTAACTCACTTACACCTCTACCGTTGTGCTGCTTGTGAAGCTAATAAGTACGTCATTAGTTATGATGATAAAGACAAGATGTCTCTCACTTCACTGCAGGCAACAGTGCCACGGAAAGGGGGTAGGGGGGTTAAAGTCAATCCAGAAACACTGTACACAGTTTACAGGTCCTACACCTTTGTTTTAATGTTAAAGTTAAATTCATTGAATTCTGAGATGGTTGAGCTCAGGTCATTACCTCAATTAGGGTGGAATGATCCATCTCTAAGCACCTTTAATTCACCTCTAAATGGGCATTGCACGACTTAGGCAGAGGTGTTGAAAAAAAGCTGGCATGCATTTCAACACCTTGTAACTGTCAAATATCAATCGTGTGTCCAATGTAATTTTTTTTTGGTGCATTTATGAAACTGTGTTTCTCCCATAGAAAACAGTAGAGTGTTTTTCTTGAAGCACCCTAGATATCTTTGCAAGTTAAAATCAAGGTTGTTCATCCCTGTTTTCAAATTATGACAGAGGAATCAATTCTGAGAAGCAAAGCAAAGCAGCTGTGGAAACGGAATGATTCATATTTTAACCACTTAATTGGGTGTGAGTGCAATCATCACTGCCATTCTTCTGCATGGTGGGTATGAGGAGAACATTAATCATGGGATTTCAGCCCCTTACAACTGGGCTATTTCCTGAATATACTCGTCTTGGGTCCTTGGTTTAGAAGTATACACCCTAGGTACACATAAAAAGGGGCATTTGAGTGAAAACTGGACTTTCTTTTTCAGTGGCACAACAGGATAAGATAAATGCACAAAGTTTGGTCCATTTCTCAAAGAACCTACATACTACCCATCATTAAAAAAAGCACAACCACGAATGAGCTGAACAATTTTATGAATTTTGGTTAAGGAGTTTACACAAGTGTACCATGAAATCAATTATAGTTTCTGAGATGTGGGATGAATAATCACAAAGAAAACTTGCCAAACACTTCAGTTTCAATAATGGCTGTGGGGTCATGCTTATGACCCAAAACAGTCACCTAGAAGGACTTCATTAAATAGTTTGAAAACGTTTGAAGATGTGTAGAAAAATCTATCTAAGTTTCAAGGGCATGGGATGAAACAATGCATAGAAATTAATTTAATTAGTTAAATGATGCTCAACTGTATGTATGAGTTGCACACAGAAAAAACTACTCAACCAGCCTGCCACCACAGAATGGAAACTCGCCAGTTAAATGGTTAAAAGACACACTTAGTGACAGCTGTTGTTACACAAATGAGGCTGATGTGGCTAACTTGAACTTGATTACTTTTAATGGTCTTATTTTTAATGAGCTTTTGCATATTCTTTTAAGTCTTTCAGCATGAATAAGTTCTTGACTTTTATCCACTAATTAAGTTCTTATTAAGGTACTAAGGGAAGATGAAAAACGATCCCTCTAGAATCAAATTCTGGCTTATAATTATTGTAGAGGACCCCAAGGGAGAGCATTGGAGCCACTTTTTGACAGTCTCAGGTCAAGCACCTGACCGTGGCGTATGGTCAAAGGTCACGATTTGCATGCCTCTCTTCGAAAATCTGTATCTCCCCAACCTTGGTTGCAGAAACCTCAAATTTACGTCATTCTCCTCGCTACAGAACAAGTTAAATGATAAGCCCAAAAAACGTGCGCATCTCTCTGCTCCCCGAGACGCCGTGGCGCCATTTGTGAAAATTTAAGTTTCACGAATTCTCTTCTTCCCTCGCTCATTCTCCAAAAAAAACATTGTATCGTGAAGAGCATGCTCCAGTTTTTAGAGACCGTCCCTATTCCTCTTCGTGTCAAAGGGCGCGATGATTCAACGACCGTTTTCTCTGGAAGTGTGATGATACACCTCAAAATCTCCCTATTTTTTCATAGTGCCTCACGTCTCTTTCTCGAGAACGAGATTGAAATTCAAAATTTCAACAGACAGAATTGTGGAGAAGCCTCTAGAGCAGCTCCAGGTCCATTTTCAGACGAGGGATTTTACTGAACCAAAGTTTGACATTTTCCAGCATGTCGGAAACATAGTCATTTTTCTCCTCATTATTTGGAATCAATAGTAAACACAATAATTTTCTTATAAGGAGGAGCATTTCAGGATTCCAATGGTTTCGAAATCCTTTACTTATTCCACTGGATATGCAAATAGGAAAATAAATATTATTTAAATAATATTATTTGAATATGAAAATACATATGAGTTGAATATGTTTATTCTCTTCTTTCCTGCAACTATCATTGCTCTGAATTGCTTCCAAACTATTAATTTAAAGTTTATTAAAAGAGTCAGTAGCGCTCTTATTCATTTTTTTAGAAGTTTAGTTTCCCGATTGACATGAGCGAATAATTTGAATTCCATCAATTGGCCATAGGTTCGGTTCCGGACCAATTGTCTCCGAATCGTCCCTCTCTGCACCTCCCATTTCTCAAGCTTTCGTACCAGACCTTACGGAAAGCAAGAGTTTTCGTCCCGTCTCTTTGCAAAATTTAGAGATCTGATGTGACCGTTCTCGAGAATTTATCACCTCTTGTCATCACTTCAAGAAGAAAAACAAAGTCCTAAGTTGGCAATGATGACTCCCGTCAATGATTACTCCCGTTTCTATCATTTTGCGTTTGCGAAGCCTCTAATACCGTAAAAATATGGCTTTATCACCCGTCTTCACTTTACAGTTCACTTGATCATCAGTACTATGATAGAAAACGTAAGCAAGTCAATGAGTTCTTGCCTAATATACTGTATTATATCAATATAATAAATAATAGTATTTAAAATTTTCCAATCACATTCACACTTATATTGGTATATAATGTATAATATAACTATATTAATGCAATATTTAAAAATATATACAGAGTCATGCTCGCAGATACGACTGGTTAGGGAAGCGTGACATCTACTACACGAACTCCATTGCATAAATCATTGCCAGGGGAAGCCCGCGGGCAGGAGAAAATAAAGTTTTGGAAGAGAGAGGTCTGAAGGAATGAAAGACCTACGCAAGCCGTGGTGCTGGTAAAACAGGTGAACGAGACTGAAAAACTAGCATTGCCAGATTCTAATTTCATCGGAGTAGAAGGAGTAGGGCGTGGAAGAATATATGGAATATATACTGTATTTGGCAACGTAGCACTCAGGCCTCTTCTCTCCGGCCTGTCTCATTTCGTTCATTTAGCTGCGAGACTGCCCTTTCCCCCTTGATTCCTCCATCCCGCTCCCGGTGAATATTAGATAGAAGCAGGTTAGGCCAGAGGTTGGCCTAGGTTGGAACTGCGCATGCTCCGACTTACTAGCGATAGAGGGAAGCCTGGTCCCAGCAGTCCTGTAGCAGACAGCATTCTTTCATCCTTTTCTTATGGCTTTACTTGTTTCCTGTACTTAGCCAAATTTAATGACTCTCACGAGGAAGCCCAAATATTATTCTGGCTGGAGGCATTCCGAAACATTGTCATATAAAAGCTGAGATGGGGTAAAAATGAAAAATTCATGGTCACTCTGGCCCAGGTTAGGCCCAGCCTAACGTGCCTACCCCGACGAGCCGTCACTGCCTCATGACCTTGCTTATTCGAAAATGTATGGGAGATGTTGCTCTTTATATTTAATATGAGGAACCGAATGCCTGGGGAAATACGACTCTCGGCTGGGCTCAGCTTGGAGAGACGGTCCGAGAGAAAAAACATCCTGGAAGAAGGGAGAAAGTATCCTCTTTTCATGAGATATTGAATGAGTAAATATTTAGCCCAGCTTGGTATGGTTCCCATCCCCCCCCCCCTCTTTTTCCCGAAGCTTTCCAAATTCAAGCGGGGAAATTGTGCGACATTTTAATATTTCATTCCTTTATCGCAGTTGTAATTAGTTACAAATTCCCTGCTCCGGAAAGTTGTTCCTATGTTTATATTGCGCAAAGGAGGACGGACGTTCATCTAACTCAAGTTTGGTCAAAAAGCGAAAACAAATTATACCACTGGCTAAGGCAGACTCTGGACTACAAATCTTGTTTGGGCAGAATTTTTCGTAAACTAAACGTTTTCGAGATAAAGCAGAGAGAAGCGAGGCAGCCGACACGAATGCAAAGAAAAAAAAAAGAATAAATTCTTGAGGTGAATTTGAAACGAGTCCTCAATGGTTCGCGCGTCCACGTCGAGAGGATGGACCCCAGTGATGCGGAAGGCCGTAGTATCTCAGGTCCAACCATGTTATAGGGGCTTCCGTTGAGGGTGACCAAGACGAACCAAATCCAGCATGATGAATTTGGCTCGGGTACTCCATACTGGCTCAGTCGTCGCCCAGGATAATCAG